AGGGTTTTGTCTCACGGTCATAGTACAGGGGCGGGGTTTTTTTGTTGCAAAATAAAGTATAAGAGATCTTTGTCAAAAACCCTATAATATATGAGATCTTTGTAATTACCCAAAAATTTATATCATGTGTTGTCATGTGTATACGAAATTTTGACACAACATTGAAATAATAGCATTGGTGTAAGATGAATATAGTTAATCAATTAATTAAACAATAGAGGTAATTTAAGAAATTTGTCCAAATAATAATATTATTACCCTTTAATTTTATGTTTTAGTACTTGCACCAAATAACTCCTTACTAATTCTATATGTCATTCATCACCTTTGCACAAGGTTGAATGATATTTTAGGAGAAATCTACTATCATATGCTTTAATTTGTTCTAATTCATAGGGTTAAGAAAATAGGCCTAGAAAACAATTATTATGGAAGTTTTGTGATTGATGTCCTAACATATAATTTCACCTATTCAATTCTTCAAGATGACTTGATGAGTTGAATTGGCTTGTTGCCTCGTGAGTATATTAGTATTGATTTATAGATGGTTGGTTGGGTTTAACACTCTTGATATATGCTAAGGCTAGGTTATCATCAATTAATTTGAAATGTTTCAACAATTTAGACCCATCCGCACAAGTAAAAAAACTATTTGACTAAAGGAGAATAGGTTTATTGAGGATATTTAACCCATTATTATGGGCAATATTTTTAAACCGCCATTGACTCGAACGGTTCAATGTGAAAACTGGTCACTAATCCGGCTCCAATTACCTCCTAACCTAGAGTTATAACAAAAACTGTTGAAAAAACTAGCAAACTGTTGACCTGACCATTCTAACCGCTGAATCATTGACATTGGTTTGCAAATTTAAAACGAATTCCCAATTTTCCACCCACACACCGATACACACTCACTTCCTCTTTCTATTAAAACTGAAATGACAACTGACAGAAAATAAAAAAAGTAAAGTGAAAACTCCCAAGACTCAAAATTCTATATCATTATGAGAACTGATACTCATAGATTAATTTTTTGGTGGATATTTTCTTGTGATGTGTATATAGATCCAATTCTGTCTTTTCTTGTGATGTATGTAAATTATTGTATGCTTATGGAGCCATTACCATTATGATTTTATTAATTTTTGTTTACATTTATTTCATCACGGGTTAATCCGTTTAATCCAAACAGTCAAACCGTTGACTTATGACTTGGAAGGAAAAACAATTCCGTATCTAGGTCATTTTTGAAAACATTGATTATGAATAGTTAGGTGGATGAAAGAATATGGGATGTTGTGAATCCTTTTGTGTGTAGGAGTTGTTTGATTTATCTGCCTTACTATTCTTATAACACAACTACAAACTTGGTCTCACATCATTATATGCTATTCCACCATTTGTTGATCTTATTAAACATTATATATAGCATTACTATATGAGGTATTTGTTTTAAATTTCTAGCATTACTAGATTCCTCTCTAATTGAAAAAATAGCTTTCAATATTATTTCTTAGTGTTTATTATTTACTAACTCTTCTTATTTACATAATGGTTTTATGTTGGAATGGTAAAATAACAAATGTAGTAGTGACAATACATGTATATTATTTTTTGATATTGAGATTTAATATATACAAACAAGCATTTACCTCAAAAGCTTTAGAAACTCTGGAATCACTGTAGTTTGAGAGATTTTTTTTTTGAATAAAGATCAATTAACAAAAGTAAGAGGAGTTAAATTAGGTCTGGATTTTTGGGCAATATCTATTAATGTACCTATTATATACAAAGAAACTTTAATTCAACCATATGGTCGTTTTAAAACAATTGGATATATAATTGGTGCAAGTATCATGAGGTCATCATTTTGTGTTTGTTATATTTTAATTATACTTACTTTCAAATGATGTTTCATATATAAATTACTTTATATAACATTAATTTTAATTTTTTTAATCTTTTTTTAGGTTAAGTATGTAAACAAAACATAAGAATAGGCATATGGGAGAATGATTTAAAAAAGCCATAATTTTTACATTTCCTTGGTCTAATATATAACATGACAACTAGTTAGTTATATTGTATATAATTTTAAGTTAAAAATACAAAAATATGGAATTTTGCACATTACAAATTACGAATCCATGTGTTGAGTATTTATATTGATATAGCAATGGTTATAATCACCACTATAAATCACCCATATCTATTGCTATAAATCTAAAAAGTGTTTTATAAAGGCAGATATAACCACCGCTATATGTAGAATATATGACAAAAATTAATTTGTAGCGGCAGATATAACTACCGCTATATGTAATATATATGCCACAAATTAATTTATAGCAGTGGATAATATTGTCGCTATAAATTTTAGATTGACGAATCATTGCATTTAGTGACAGTTATAAACACCACTATAGCATAAGTATTTGTCATAAGTTTTGATCCATAGTGACGGATTATTTATCGCTATTTGTTGCATTCTTATTGCTAAATATTTCTTCTGCTATTTGTTGCATTCTTGCCACTAAAGGCTAGTATTTTATCGATGGATGATTTATTTGCTACAATTTCTTTTACCAACATGACTTTCAGCAACAGAAGTTTAACTGCCGCTAAAAAACATGTACTAGTACTTTAGAGGTGGATAAATCCACTGCTATAGACTAGTTTTCTTGTAGTTATTGGGATTACAATGGCAAGAAGGGGTTGGCATTTGCAATATTCAAACTGGCAATAAGTCCTTTTAACAATAAACCGACTTGAGCTCCAAATCGGCAAGTTTGAGGCCAAAGAACTTCACGGCAGCAAGAAGTGAAATGAGGAGGAAGAGGAAGAAAAATCCTTAGTGGGGTTTTTAGCATTTTAGGATAGTTGGGTTTATAATGAAATGTGATGTACTATATCAAATTAAATCTGATGTGACTAATTGCCAATTCAGATTACAATGAGACCTACATATATAGGACTATCATTCTTGAATCGGTGGGGTGACTCAAGAAACGTCAAAAAAAGTGTTTCAAGTAAAAATATAATTGTGAATCATTTTTCGACCGTTTCATTGTAAAACACCTTTCCAAACATGTTTTTTTTTTTCGTGGACTAGAGAATGACACCATACTAAGTTCGGGGCTAGTATTTTTTTGATATTTTTTATTTAGTTTAAGCAAAAATTGTCTATCTTTTTATTATTTTTTTTAAGATTATTTGTATTGTAATATTTAGTTAATTAATTATTATTGTTATTATTAAGTATTTAATTAATGATTTTATTATCATAATTAAAATTTTATTGTAAAAATTTAAAGATTAATCAAAATGTAATATTTACTTAAATATTTAACTAAAGATTAATATTATTTTTAATTAGTAATGTTGATGATTATTTTCTTATATTTTTATTAATAATCAGTATTTAATTGCTGAGTATTATTGTTATAATAGATTTTCTAATTACACTAAATTCTGGTAATTTACATTACTTTAAAGGAGGGGACTATTGCCTGAAGACCTTCCTTTAATATATACTAGTGAGGACCCGTACAGTGCACAGAAAAATCTGAAAGATTGAACAATTTTATTTACTATTAATTAATTGATAAATTAATAATCAAAATTTGTTGCTAATTAACTAAAAGTATTCAAAGTTATTGTTAGTATTTAATATTTTAATAATTATATTTTTCATTTAATGTTGATTGATTTATAGAAAATAATTATTGTTAATTTAATACGAATAAATATTTTTTAATAAATTTAATTTTACAAAAAAATTAGTAATTTTAATAATTGTTATTATTTTCATTATTTTAAATGAAAGTTTGATTGATTTTAAATAAATAAAAATAATTACAAAAGCTAACATTTTATTAATTTCACTAATAATTAACAATTATATAGTAATGGAAATGGTGTGGGGCACCCCATCCATGTCCCTACCCTGTAGTCAAGATACTCTACCCCATCCCTGCCTCTTACCTAGTGTTAGGGAAGTTTAGGGCAAAGCACCCACTCCTTGTTAGGAATGGGAAATCCTCGAATTTCCTCGCATCGTCCTCAGTATCGGGTGAATTCATGGCAAGGCACCCACTCCAATGTAAATTAATTGATAATTTTATTTTCCAACATTATAGTATTTTATTCCCCCATTTGCATTTGGTTATTAATTATAATAATAGCAGTAACTAAAATTTTATATTTTTTGGTCATTGTTAAATATAATTCTTAATTTTATAGAAATTAGTTAAAGAGTTTTCAATTTCTATAAAATATTGTTAATTAACATGAATATTACAGTATTTACCCAAAATACTTTAAAAAGTAACGATGAGTTAATTAATAACAATATTTATTAATTTTTGGTAATTAACTAACTATATTTATTAACTTTTGGTTAATAGTCATTAAATATGGGTTGAAGTACTAAATATTAATCGTATTTAACTATATATTAAATAATATGAATATTTTAAATGAGAGAGAGTGGATATAAATTGTGGGAGAGATTTTAGGAATTGATTAGAAAGCGAGGTAACATGATAAATTCGTAATGCCTTAGGAGAGAGACTGTAGGAATATTTTTAAGTAATTGGGTTAGGAATGATGACATGACTTAATGGAAGTGGTGAAAAGGGGAGAGAAGATAGAATCAAGGAGAATAGGGTGGAGATAATGAAGTAAGGAGAGGCATGCTAATATGGACCATGCTATATATATAGATATAGATATAATAATGTGACGTGACTGCCACGTCAACAAATCTCCGGTGCCAAACGCCTACTTATTAATTTTGCCCTCCGTTGGCTAATTAGTATCATAATCGATCATTTGAGTGGTGTATAGCTAACTTGATTTGTAAATTGCAATAAATTCCACCATTGGCGAATGGATCATATTTCCTAATCCAATTCGATTTGAAAATGCGCAAGAAGGATATCCAAATTCAAGACAAATGGATAGATTCAAATTCAAATCGGATAATATCCGGTCCATTTGCCCCCTAAGTTGCAGCCCAAGGTCCAGCACTCAAATAGGAAGGTTTATTCCAATTGTCAATACTTGAAGGTGGCATAGTCAACCCTATCATTTAGAGCAGTATCCGTGAATCTCCCGCATTGAAATAGACAGGCAAGCGCGTTTCGTTGACTTTGACATTCTCTATACTGAGCGTGCAATTCACTCTTTATCATCCCTTCATCGGAGAGCGAGAGAGACAGAGAGTCGGACTGTCGGAGAGAGAGAGAGAGATGGGGAAATTGTGTTACGATCCCTACATTCAACACTTCAGCCATCCTCATCCTTTAGAGCTTTCCAATCTCCAGCAACAGCACCCGAACTTGGCTTCATGTTCAGGCTGCAAGCAGAGCCCCTCCGGGTGGATCTATTCCTGCAAAGCCTGCAACTACATCCTCCATGTCTCATGCGCTCAGATGCCTCAGCTCATCCAGCACCCAGCCGATCCCACTCACGCCCTCACCCTCCTCTCTTTACCGGCCTACCCAGAAGGTGTCTTCAACTGCGACGCCTGTGGGCACAAAGGCAACGGCTTCAGCTACCACTGTGGAGCCTGCAGCCTCGACATCCACATCTTCTGTGCTACCAAGCCGCTCTCACTCAGCCACCATGCCCACCCTCACACCCTTCATCTGGCCTTCTTCCCTCCTTACCAGAACAAAGGCTTCTCCTGCGACATATGTAAAACCATGGGCTCCAACCACTGGCTCTACCGGTGCAGTATGTGCGAATTCGATGCCCATCTGAATTGTGCTTTTTCTAGGACCCATCTGTCCCTTCAACCTCAGATTCAAAGGTCTCAGCCCGTGCAGATCCAACAATACCAGTCATTCCCACAAGCTGTTCAGCCTCCATACAAGGCTCAAGCTCAGTTCCAGGCTCGGCCTCAACTTCAGGTTCAGCCCCAGTTCCAGGCAGCTCAGTCTCAATTTCCGATCCGGCCCCAGTTCCAGGCTCAGCCTCAATTTCAGGTTCAGCCCCAGTTCCAGGCTCAGTCTCAATTTCAAGCTCAGCCTCAGCTCCAGGCTCCCGGAGCTGCAGGGCTCAGTAATGGGCCTCCACAGACAAACTGCTACGCATATAACCAGAATATGGCTACGCAACAGCCCATGCAGCAGTCAGGGCTAAACGGGACTGGTAATGCTTTGATGGATGCTGCGATTCAAGGATTCATTACTGGTGCTTCTGAACAGCTTGACCAGGATTTCATGCAGAATCTCACAGGAGGTGACAACGGTGGTGGTGGTGGTGGTGGCGGTGACGGTGGAGATTCTTCTGCATCTGTTCTAGATGTTGGGTAGCGGCATGTTTGGGGATTCAGGGTCAACAAATGAATAGTTAGAAATTAGAGTGCTTTGTGGAGATAAAATAGGTCTCTAATGGTTTGCAGTTTGTGCTGTTAGTTATCCATCTCTTTGGTTATTCTACTAATTGAGGATTAAGTTCTTGCTTTCGGGAAGATGTTGGATCAAGATCTTGTACAGGAGTCTGAGATTGTGAAAGTTTAATTTGCCAAAGGCTCTGTAATTGACACAAGCCTCTCCCATGAGCATTGAGCCACCATAGCAGTAAAGGATGAATTTCTAAAAGTCAACCTGGAAAACGAGGCGACCTCATTGATGAGCTGGATGCAAGGATAGTTGGCGATACAAGACAAAGCTGTAATAGGCAAACCAATCAATCTGTCTTGCATATTTCTGGAATTATTTACACAAACTGCAGAAATTGTCAAGCCCTGCCCCCAGTTTGATGCTCTGAAAATTTGTGGAAAAATAAGTTTTTTTTGTCTAATAAATAAAATAAAAACTTCATATTTTTTATGGATTCTCTGTGAATAACATCGCAAGGCAGCGTTAGGTTCAGTCACAGTATAAATTTGGTTTGCATTTGGTGTAAATTCATGGGAGTACATAAAGGCCTGACTCCTGAGTGTATTCTAGTTTACTTTTGCTTCACATTTGACCTTGTTAGTAATAAGTAAAATAGGAAGTAAAATGGTGTGAGGCAGGAAGAAGATAAATTGTTTGGAATGAGGTAGGAAGGAATATGACGCAAAACCCAAAACCCACTTTATATATGAGAGAGAATTGAGGTAAGAGGAATATGGTGCAAATTTTGTATTATTTTTTGAAATGCAAAATTTATACCGTTGACAAGTACAATTTAGACAAAAAAATACAAATTTTGTATCAGATATATGTGTAAACTATATATATTTACAAATAAACAGATACCAAATTAAAACGATGCAAAATTTCTATCTGATTAAGATTTGCACGGAAAACAAACGGAGCTAATGAACAGGATGTCTACTTAGCAGTGATAATGAAATGCTCACAAGATAGCGATAGTACAAAAATAGAAAACTATGGTCTGCAATTGCTGGTATCCACCTGGAAGATATGCTCTATAGGTGGTGTTTGGCTAACAAAAATCAAGCGCTTCTTGGAATTCCACAATTTGGCCGATTTTGTAATAATTGAAGTTTATTTTCTGTTGACGGACGTATGAGAAAAAGCTTCAATAAAACTGAAACCACCATGATAAAAAATTACCAGAAAAGAATCACCATAATTATGAATTAAAAAGAAGCATTGGCCAACACATTTATAAAAAATTATTGATTTCTCAAATGCGATGTGATCAAAATTCAACGTCCCTCTTTCAGTGCTCTTCGCACAAAAGTCATGATTCAGACATTGAATCGATAATTGACAATTAACGATTTAACATATTAGCACAATTCAAAGATTTTTGGGGATTTTTAGATTTTTATTGTTCAGTCCATATCAGAAGTTCTAGTTTCGTACAATTGGGATAGGTTTCAGTTTGGAATTAATGCTAATTCATGAGTGGGTATGGGTGTTATAAATGAAACTATTTATAAATTTGAATTATTGTAGGTCTAGAGTTCAAATCAGAATTTGAATTATTTATAAAAAATTCAAATGAGAATTTAAACTTTTTTACACTTAGCTAACATATCAAGGTCAAATCGATTTAAATTTTTGGGTTTCACTGGAAATGCCAATGTTTGTAACTTTGTTTTACTAATTATTTAAATCTATTTGTAATTATCAGCCAATTAATTAGTCGTTGACATGTATAACTAAAGTCTATACATATAAATACATAAGTGCTTCATATTGATGGGTGCTTAATTTAGGATGGTCTTCATCGTACTCAAAAGTCTTATTTAATTTTTAGTAATTAAATTTAGGGGTGTCAATTTTTCACCCAATCCGCTGAATCCACCCAATTCATTCAACTTGCCCATTTACTTGGTGGATTGTGTGATCAATCTATCACTCAATCCACCCATTTAAATGGGTTGGGTAGTGGACAACCATTGGGTTAATCATTACAGACAAAAGTATTAATTTTTTAGCTTTTTTTTTAATTTTCTTTATTTGAATTAAATAATTTATAATTAATGTATTAATTATCTATTAAGTACAGCCTAAATTTAGTTGACAAGTCCAGACCAGTTCAACGCGATTTAACCCGATTCAACATATATCGATCTGGGTCGACCTGAATCCGAAATAAACCTTGGACAGGATGGTTCGACACTACTTGCTTTGCCCAATTTGGGTCGTTCGGACCAACCATCATTCACACAGCTCAACTCTACCCTTGACAAGCCGATCCGGGTTGGATCGGGCGGGTTCGAATCCTAAACCCATCCATTTGCTTTGCACGGTTTGGATCATTTGGTCTGGTTTGTATCCATACAATCGACCTGAATCTAGTCCGGTCCGATTTACTTCTCTTTACCCGCTTTGGGCCAATCAGTTCGGTCCCAAACCTGTGCACAAACCTAATAAGAGCCGACCCAAGTCAATCCACCACTAGTTGAATCAGTCTGGTCTGGCTCGACCAAATCGAACCAGTCTAGGCCGATCGGGGTCTGGTCTGACTAGACCGATTCGGATCTAAACGGTTCAACAACTCTTGAAATGATTAGCTCAAAGACAATCCAATTAGATAGTTCAAGTTGGTATGACCGGTTTGAACCTAAGTGATTCGTCAAATCCAAAATCCGAACATAGTTAAATGGCTTTGTTGCTTGTGAAAAAATATCATACATGTATATGTGATTTGAACCTTCACTTGTATAAATAGCAATTACTATTGCCACCAAGCTATGACCAACTTATTTGTTAAGAGGGAGTTAGCTTTTTGTTTTTTAAGTACATAAATATAAGATTAATGGGTTTGGGCAGGTTGGATTGGGTTAAAGTGGGTTTAGGTTGAACCCAACCCATTTAATTTTATATAAATGGGTCATTAACGAGTTGGTGGGTTAAATGGGTTGGGTTGAAGCTCAACCCAAACCAAACCCAACCCAACCTGCCCAATTGTCACCACCAATTTAGAGGTTTTTAGAACAGTGTCAAGAGGGGAAAGATGGGGGGTCATGTAGAATCTGAGAGGAACTTAAAAACTAAATGGGCCTATCATTTATATGAGTTTCCTTGAATGTGTGCATCTTTGTAATTTCATTGTAACTTTTCATTGCCTAACTCATAAATATATAACTAGCACATCTCATGAAATTACAATTAATATTTTCTTAGGTTCTATTATGAAATTGGAAATTCATGATACTCAAAAATGTATAATCAATGATTAAAGTATTGATATTGGGTATTATATTGGAAAAACGCTTGAATGCATTAGGAAAATGCATACAAATTATATTAATACCACTAAATTTAATGCCAAAATAATCACAAATAGTGTATAAATACATAAAAATGTTTTTTATGGTATATATGAAGAAATACATTACAATTATTATAATAGGATGCATAGATTATTATATAGATTTTTACAAATTAATACATACACAACCATTATTATTTTATTTTCTATTAAAATCCAAGGCAAAAAAAGCATATGCAACCATTATATTATTTTATATATATTTTTTTAATTTTTAACATTAACTAAAAAAGACAACTAAAAGTTTAGTTCCCAAATTTATGGTAAATAATATTTTTATTTTTGTAAACAATAAATATGTTAAATAAAAAATATCAATTAACAACTTACAAAAATATATAATCTTAAAATATATCAAATCTATTAAAACTTCGAAGATACATACTATACGTAAATTCATGATTTTTAATTACTAAAATAATTATTTCTATTTCTTTACATTATCAATTTTTTATACAAATGTAGATTCATTTATATTATATTCTTAAATAAATAGTAAATAATATATACATATTTATTTAATACAAACTAAAATATTAATTAATAATTTATAAAATTTTTAAGATACATATCTTGTGCAAATTTATAAATTTTAAGTACTAAAATATCTATTTTATTATTAATAGTTTATTCAAATAAATTTCTTGAGGTTAAAAATAATTTTGTGATGAAAATTTGGATTTGATAGATTATTTGTTCTATTAGTTTATAAAATATTAATGTTGAATAGTATTCCTTTTAATTTATAGTTGGAGTGGTTGAATATTATATATGTTATTTATTTGAATTGGTTGTGAACGCTAAATTGAATAAATGTTAATGTATTTCACTTATTATCACAAAAATGAGTGTTGGCTTAGCAGTTAATGACATGCTTAATTACTTGGTGCGGTTGTCTTGGGTTCATCCATTAGTATTCCATCGGTTAAATATTACATAATATCTAAAATACCTTTCTTGTGTATATTTTGAGATCACTCTAAAGAGTAAAATCATTACTAGAGAATGTTGTCATCGAAAATTTTGAATTTGTTATTTGTTGTCCATGTGAGCACGTCATCGTGGGTAGGGGTGCTCACGGTTCAGTTAACCGAACCATGGGGCTTTTTTTTATCAAACCGATACTACTAGTTTTTGGAAAACTAGTAACCAAAACTAGTTTTGGATGGACCATTGGTTCGGTTCAGTTAATTGGTTGATCGGTTCAATTAACCATTGGTTCGGTTCGTCGATTTTTTTGTTTTTAAATTTTTATAATATATATAATAAAAATTTAAAAATATACATAAAATATTATATTTAATTAATAAATAATATATCATATATTATAAATATATATTTATATATAATGCATATTTATTAATTTATAACATATAATATATATAATATAAAATATATAGAAATAAATGTATACCAATTAGTTCAATTAACTGTCGGTTTTCTATATTGGTTAACTGAAACTAAACCAGTACCATCATTTTTTTAAAAACACCAAACCAAAACCGAGCGATCGGTTTGGTTTTGGTCGATTTATTCGATCGATTCAGTTTTTCGATTTTTTTGCTCACCCTTAATCGTGGGGGGAGGCGTTTGCTTAGTTGAAAATGATCTCAGAAATACACATGAATGGTATTTTTTACATTATATAATATTTAACTGACGAAATACTAATGGATGGACCCAAGTACCTATTTTTTAAGAATTCAAGGTTCAAGTGTTGCAATTGAAAGTTTAGGGTTACCTATTTGCCACTACCCCCAAAATAAAGGTATCTATCTGTAATTTACCCTAAAAAAGAGTGCGGCTGTAACATGCTATGTGATGGGCATGAGGAGGCTGTTGAGTAAGAAATCGCAGCTCTTTGGTTTAATGTCTTTCTGGCACCATACATTTTTTTAATCCCATTTCCTCACAAAATTGGTCTTCACACCCACCTCACAACCCTTCGAGCTACACATCAAGAAAGTCTCCATACATGTATATTTTTATTCATGGGGAGATATTTTCCCAATGTATGGCTGCAAAGGATGTAAAGTGGATGTGAAGACCAATTTTGTGACTTGAGGAAATCCGATTTTAGATTTTTCCTATACTTATTCTCTATCTTTGCATGATTGGAATTATGAACATTGCAAATCACCCATCAAACATTCCTAAAATTCTTGGATTTCTTGTCACCATCAAATAAAAACTAAAAATGAAAGGGCAAATTTCTTAAACTATCCCCAAGGTTTAAGAAATTGACCAACTCTATCCCCTATCATTGCAATATTGTCAAAATACCCCTATTGTTTCTAACAATTGTTTTTTTAAACTCAATTTTACCCTTGCCATCTACCTCCTTACAGTAGCGGCAAATCGAACTGACTAGATCTTTAACTAGCGGCAGGGATAACCCCTCTCTCTCTCCCTCTCTCTCTCTCTCTCCCCCCTTCTTCCCCTTGTCTTCCCCTCAACGTTAGACAAGATGTTTCGATGGGTTTGGGAGGTGCCCCCACCCCGACGCCCCTATTCTCTCTTTTCAAGATGAAGCTGAACCAACCAGAACCAACTTCATCATTTGTCTACCCACCACAAAACACTTGGTTTCTTCGACGTCCTCGTTGTCATCGGAAAAGACGATGGTGTTTGTATCGATAACAACAGCGAAAGAGCCGGTAGGGCCGAAGGAAGGGGGCGGACAAGAATTGGTAACCATCGAGCGCCGGGGAGATCACTCAACCATCTGCTGATGGAACGTCATTAATTTCCCCAGGGTGAAAAGCTAGGGCACTATGGAGCCTATGTTTAAATGACAAGGCAGTGGCATTGACAATCTATTTTCTTTTGTTTTACCCCTTTCTTCAGTCCTCTACACGTGTGAAATGGCTCTAAGCTCTGGCCTCTAGACAAACAGTCAGCGGTGATGAAACAGGGGAGAGGGAAACAGAACGAAGGGAGAGGGGAGAGAGAGAGAGGCTCTCTTCTTACCGGTCACCGCCGTCATGCCAACGTCGAGTCATCCCCCTCCCTAGCATATCTGCGGAAGCCTTCATCACCAAGCATCCACTCTTCGTTATGTTGGCTTGTACATGGGTTTCGACGAGGCTCGTATTAGGTTTCAACGCCATCGCCATTGCAACTTCAAGTGGCAGTGGTATTTTTTTTTTCTTGCTCCCCCAATTTCTCTATACTTTCTGTCTCTCTCCCCCTTTCGTTCTTTCGCTGTCACTCTTTGAGCTACTTTCCAGCATAGCCTCAAGCATTCAACGAGGCGTGTCTCTTGACTTGAGCATAGCCTCGGCGAACCTGAAAACTCCACTTCCTCCAACCACCATCTCTCTGATGCTCGGGAAAATAGAGATTTTATCACGAATACTCGGGATCTGGAGCTGAGATCGTTCAACAAACTTCGAACTCAAATATGGAGCCTGAACTGATGTACGACCCCACTCCCGCTGACCACCGACATCTCTTCAGTGTTTTCCCAAGAATACTCAGATCTAGAACTTGAGATTGTCCGGCAAGCTTTGAACTCAAATTTGGAGCTGGATCTGATGCATGCAATGGCAATACAATAAAAACCTGCCCGTAAATTATTTTTATGTAAGGGCAAAAATGACTTTTCGTGTATCTCCATTACCAATTAAATTAATAATAGCGACAATTAACAATAAAGGTACTTTAAATTATACTGAAACAGTAGGAATATAATTAATCAATTGCTTAACCTTGGAGATAATTTAATAAATTTGCCTAAAATGAAGCTACAGAACCCATGTTATCAAAAGACAATCTTTTCATGAGTCAACTCTTAAATGGGCTCAGTGTAGGTCCTAGAAAACATGAAAATCTGTTGGATTCCGATTTTCAGACCAATATACGTGTCTGCGCCGAGCTTCTTCCAAAGATGGAATATAAAAAGTCTATTTGATGGAATGGATAACAATTTTAAGATCAAGCTGAGACTTGGATGTCTACATCCCTTTAGGGTCCACGTAAACGCCTCCATGCTCCCAAATGTATGAAAATATGCAAGCCACACCAATATTACAACAAAATCTCGGGAAGTTTTCGTAGGTGTAATAACTCACAAATTATCACGAGTATTACAACATCTTTATTGGTTACCATCACATTTCGTCAAAAATCCTACAACTAGTCTATTGAAGATATAACCACACAACTAGCATATGGATTTCAACTGCTCAACATGGGTATACTAGCAAAATATCATGAAACGATCCTTAGATGTCCTCGGGACCATTAATCACCTGAATGTTGCAATAAAAATTGCAGTTATGCAAAGAGAGAGAGAGAGAGAGAGAGAGAGAGTGAGAGAGAGAGAGGAAATAATCCAGGATTTCCAGTTTCTACCTTGTTTTCGAGTACAACGCCATCGGGAATTTCCAGTTTCACACCAGGTTTTGCAGCAACAKTGACGTTTCCCTTCAAGAATACACCATTAGTTGGTAAATGAAAAAGAAAAAGATTTCACAGTTCAGAACAAGTAGCAGTGAACATATGCATTCAATGAACAATTTATCACTTAGTTACTCTCCATTCAATTGAAGAGTGCCAATTAGTTTAAGTGCTTCGTCTCATCAAACCAGGACCCTGCTATATAGGTGGACGAATTAATGGTGGTTTTAGGCTCCTTAGTTTTAGATCTATATGGGACAGTTGATGGTGATCAATAGCATAGTTGTCATAGCTACCAATTGAAGGTTGGGTCAGAGCACCCAAAAGAAAATAAAGAAACCATATGAATTTAAAGTTGTTATATCAGAATTTTCGATTGCTTAAATTTCAAGACATGAATGTCCATTTTTGTTTCAAATCTTTTATCAACTCAGAACAAAGAGCAAGGAAATCTTTACCGGAGGAAAAAGCGACATACAAAATCATGTCTACTTCCCATTTCCTTCCAAAAGACAGAGCAAGACAGGCATCCATTCACATTATTTACACCCAAAGGCAAATAGCAGGAAAAAATTTGGCTCATTCTAGGAAGGATGCCCGAGAACCCTACTGATGGAGACGTACCCAGCATTGTATTAAAGCTGGATTTTTTTCTTCTTTTAGACTATTTTTAAGGCTGACATGAGAATGTCTTCACGTTCACAAGTGAAATGCTCAACTGTGGTCTTGCATCCCCATTTCGATTCCACATAAGCAACACATGCGATTTGACTTTAATTGAAAAAAAAAACATATTCGGTTGAGCATATTTAACTTCAAACAGCTTTTACATTGGGTTGTGTGCATAGGGGTCTTTTCACTTCAGTTGTCTTATGCGGCACCTAATGGTATGGTGTCTAGACGTTTGAAATAATAATAAACCATTTGTGTAATGTGCTTTAGAGTTTGGTTATCTTCAGAATTTTTTTTAATTACTTTCTTGTTTGAATATGGCAATAAACAGAACAGAATTGTGAAACAGGATTCATGATGATTATGATGATGATGAGCAAGACTAAAGGATTAAATTAGTTTAAATAGGAATCATTTTTCTTTCAGCCCAATTTATCTTTTCCTTGAAGACGGGCATGATGAAAAAGTTTCTAACCTGCCAGCTATTGTACTTTGATCCCTGGAGATCCATCTCAAAACATGGATTCATCGTTTCAAAAGGTAAAGCACATCATTAAGCATAAGGCTAGCTTCCATGGACCTCCCATACCCGTCACCTCATCTAATAGCCTTTGCGTTCACCTTCTATGGTCAATGTGGAAATCCTTGTAAGTTGGGACTTGCCCTGCTTGTTACCAGTTACCACCGAACTGTCTAGATAAGAACTGAAAATACTTGGATCCTAAATAGAAGAATAGCAACAAAAAACCCACCCCCTTGCTCATTTACAAACACAAAACAGCTCACCACCAATCCCAAAGATTCCCAGTTACCAGATCTCAACCACCCTAGCATGAAGACCCCTTTAAGCAATGCCCCACGAGGCAACTTCTAAACAGTTCCCTTTCACCCTTTTTTTGATAAATGTTCCCTTTCACGCATTTCTTAGGAACCTATCATATCCATGCCTTTCCAGAATCCAAAACAACTAGAATTACCATGCATATGTGTTCTGGCTTTATAGGCGATTTTGAGAGTATGGAGTTAGGTTTTTGCTCAAAGATGGGGTGTTTATTTTTCTATTTTCTCCTTCCAGATGATATCTTGTCATCTTCCTTTGTATTCTTCTTTTTCTTTTAATAAATTTTGTTTTACCTTCAAAAATCACCTATAATAAATCAATGATATAGTGTAGGATCATTTGTAATAACAGAATGTCAGGACAAGATTTTACAATTCATTGGTACATGGTAGATCCTAGTGTAACTTGTAACAACCACATCACAAAAAGACATGCCAATTAAACAAGAGGGTTGCATCCAATACCTTGAGTATAATGCCTGATCCAAACCATACATCACCAGTCACCTTCAAGCTATCAAGTTCAATGATGCTAGGGATGGACTTAAAGCGACTAAGGAAGTTTGCAACCTGAATTATATAATAAAATAAAAATCAGTACTCTAATTGAAAACTAAAATGCAACTAATAGAAGCTAGTCATTAAATATGTTACCTTTTTAAACTCGGCGGCCAGTTCAATAGAGGGATTCGCAGGATTGCTTCTAGCATTGTTTCGGATGACAAAGCCATCAACCAACGTGTAAAGATCAGACTGTAGAAATGCATACAAGTTTTAGATGGCATAATATTCACAGCCTCAATATTCATCGTAACAAAGATCTCAGTGTAACCTGAACAAGAAGCAAATCAGATGTTGCCTTCACTGGGAGGAACCGAGATCGTGGAACATTAATACCGATGGCATGATCAAAGAACTGGTCGACAGAAGGTAATCAAAAGAAAAATCAATAACATACAAAGAAGTACTGGGAATTGTATATGTAGAACGATGATGTATTGACAGAGTACCCGAATTGCTGCACCAGCTGCTGTTTCGAGCTGAAGAACTTTGACCCCATCCACTTCCTGGAAACATCAGTAATTTGCCAGTTAAAAGTACATATTAGTAAAAGCTTTAATCAATTGGAAAAGAAAACAAGACTTGCCTTAGGGTTAGGAATAATCTCCATTTTTAGTGCATCAGATTCCACAAGCCTTTTAATAGCCTTCAAATTCACCCACCTGTTTAGAATAGACATCAGTATATCATCGCATATATGAACTAGTTTGAATTATTATCACACTAATAGTTGCCATAGGCACTACTACTTGATATTATATGCATGTGCTCCTACATATTTTGCATACATGAATTTACCTACTTCAACAAGAGACCTGGCTCACTTACAAATTGTTTGTATTGAAGATCTTGAACTTTTCGATGGATTTGAACTCATTTACCTGAATGGAAGGAAGACAAGAAAAGCATAATATTATAAAGCAGCCAGGCATTATGTCCTCGAAGAAAATGGCAAATGTAAATGATCTGCCAGAAAGTACTATTTTCTGCCCACACTATGTTAAAGGTAGAGCAAAGAAAAGTGAACTAAATTGTAGCTTACATGTTCATCAGGAACCTGGGCAATTTCCAGGAGCTGCATACCACAAAAGAAAAGTAAACATCATTTAAGGCTCATGTCAAATATATGCAGCACAACTAATTCAGAGTACTAAAGACAAACACAAAATTAGACTAAGAGAATATCAAAATAAAGCATTTTTCCAATGGTAAAATTTATTTTGACAGGAGTATTTCAAGTGCTTCACATTATTACTTATTTCATCATGTATGAATGATAAATAATTTGACCCATAATTATTTCAAGAACCTAGGTACATATGGTTTTAACAAGAAACCAAAGATAAATTTATAAGCTGTATATTCTGTCAAGGTTCTAGAATGATGCAAATTGTTTTGATGGTATAATAAAAACAAAGCCATTCAAGGAAAAAGATTTTACATCAGTTCAATAAGAGCTAGAGAGGTTTCACCAAAAAAGTTCAAAAAAAATCAGAGAGTAAAACCCAAAAGAAACTTAAGCATAATTGCATGAAAAAGAAGAAATAATATCAGAGATGCAATAATGATACCAGCCATGAGCAATTATGGAAACATAAGCTAATTTCATGTTTCATTTTTTATGAGTAACATATCCCAAAGCAGCATAAAACAGAACTTTCCTCAAGCTTAAACCATATAGGATCAAGTATAAAACTATAACTTCTTCAGGCATTTTCTTATAAAATCTGTTCTCCTATGCTTCGAGAGGAGCATAAATGAGGGGATATTGATGAAAGATGAGTAGTAGTAACTTTTAAGTACTACCATATACCTGAACTCTTCCTTCATATGAAATCAGGGTACCACCTTTTACATCTGCCAAGGTTTTAGGCGTCACCTACATAAGCATGAAAATTTAATAACATAATTTGAAGCTAGATAGTCACATTAAATTAAAAAAGAAAAAAAAAACACCATTACATACCTCCATACAGTACTCATTCTTGTTCTGGACCAAGTGATTTAAGATTTCTATAAAATTCAGTAAAGGGATATGCATCCAAAAAGACTGGTTCTTGATAATGTAGCATATAGTGCAATTAATAGGTCAATGACGGAACATTGGAAAGCTTTAAAAAAATGAAAAGGATAAAGTAGAAATAATTGATCCATATTGGTCATAAAAGGATACTCAAGTCTACAATAGCGCCCAAGTTATCTGAGTTGGCAACAAAAACGTACTCCTTACCCTGGATAGCAAGAATTAAGAATGAAATCAAACATATATATTATAAAGAAAAATAAAATAAAACCAATTTTATAATATATCAAGGTCAGTGATTCAGGTGACAACTAAATAAAGAGGGCAACAATACCAGAGAAAAGCAAAAATACCCTATATTGACAGGAAGAAAAAGCAAAAATACCCTATATTGAGTAAAGAATCAACGTATTAAGTCTTTCCACTATAAGATATCCCATCCATCAGATATTCAAGAAAGAAGATGGCAACATAATTAAACCATATCAAAAGTAAATTTGCACATCAAAAAATGACAAACATACAAATGTGTTTACCTGAGACAGGAAGGCATCAAGTTTCCCACTGTTCAACAAGGATGGAAAAACATCACCATGGCCAGGAGGATACCTTCAAAATGTTATACAATTGCATGAGATACAGTTATAACATAAAAATTGCATGTAGCATTATTCAATTAGTACCAATATATAGGATCATACGAACCATAGCGGTGAATTCAACTACTTAAGCTGCCAATATAATGACCAAAGTGAATGTGATATGGACTCTCAAAACAAGGAGAAATAGAAAAAAATTTCTAAATCAGGGAAGGGAGGAATTTGTACTAAATCCAGAGCAGTTGAAAGGATGCAAGAGCACTAAGAGTGGCATACCATCCATCCTTTCCAGTCTGTCCCTTGCATGGCAGTGGCACAAAATCTTCAATAACCAACCGAGGATATTGGCTCTAGAGAAACCAGACCAATTGTTAGCCATTTAAAAGGTATAAGTAACCATTTCCATAAAAAACCAGAAATAGGCATTTAAGCAATTACACAAGTATTAGATTTCCAAACCTGATTAAAAGTATGAATCTCAATGTTTGACTTTGAGTATTTCTCCACAATCTACACCAGACAAGTTTATTTGATGAGGATTTGAATAACAAAACAGAGGAAAATCTGAAATAAGAAAAGATGATATCACAAACCTTTAGGGTATCATCATGCGTGTTGAATGAATTCATTAGAACCAAAGGAACATTGCATCCATACTTGGAGTTGAGAGACTGTAAAGAATTGTAATACATATATTTAGTATTTTAGTGTAAGATAAATCGTCAGGACATATGAAAAGGCAATGCAAATACAAAGAACCTAAGCAAAAAGTCAAAAAAAAAAAACTGTGACAAATTGACCTCAATTTGGATAACAATCAAGTCAAGAAAAGTCAATCCATTGCGAACTTCAATTACAGACCTGCATTAAAAACAAGAAGGTGTCAAAGTTACATATAACTTATCAAGTCAATTGCAAGGAAAAAAATTAAAAAAGCAGACATTAAGGAATAAGATAATTGTGTGTTTTCGATATCCAGTCAACAGTTAAACTTGGTAGAAAGTACAAGAGGAGAGTGATGGGACTGTATATGCAGGGTCTACTGCTCTGAAGGCAGACTACCTCACTCATTAGGTTCACATACCTATGTCTTCATTGAGAAAGGTTCCAGATGATCACTTCGACCATCTCAACTATTTTTTTTTCTTTGGTATTCACCATCGCGATTATTAGATGATTGAAACGTTAAATCTTATATAAGCCTTACAGAACGCAAAATAATGCAATAACTCCTCTGTTCAAGTTGATGTAACATACAAGCAATAATAAGCAACACAATTCAAATCTATCTACATGCATGCCAAAATAGATTACATAAAGGCAACCATTGCTCCCTTCCGAAAAAGGCTCACTATGAAGGACCTTACACCTAATCAGATATTTCCTCTTCAAGTCTCCATCCATGAGCCCCCATAAAGTGATTTATTTTTTGTTCTGCTTTAACGAGTCTCATTCATGACTGATGAACAAAAAATAATTGTCGTTCATGATCTATATAAACCTCTCTGTATCAGATCAGTAGTGTTGCTATCATCTCAAAATCTCCTTCAAAAAGAAAGAAACTTATAATAGAACAAGAGATCACTTATAATTTCCATATTTGTTTTTGATAAATAAGTGAAATTTTTATTAATTTTGAAATATTAGCACATACAAGTAGCCCTTGGAGAGGCGCGAACTGAGATCTCTCCACTAAAGAAGAAAACAGCCCTTGGAAATATTAGTACATTTGTAATTTCCATATTAACCATTTCAATTGCCATTGTGAAAAAATGAAGACTAGCAGATGATTGATTACTTGGGACCAGTACAGCCCATAGTAGTGCCCAAACCTCCATTGAGCTTCAACACGACGAGTTTGTCTAGCAGCTTCTTAGTTTCCGAGAGATCTGCATTGATCCATTACATCAGAACATTCTCATAAAATCACTGCATTGAATCAATGGAATGGAATTCAATGCGAGTTCTGATACATCTATTTAACTAAAATAAAATTGCATCCATAAAAAATTACAACACTACCTTCAGGAGGAGGAGCTAAGGTCTCGTATGGAACGACCACCTCGTCAGTGGGAGTCTGAATTTTACTCCATTCAATTTGCTGTGCTTCGCCACTTCAAATGCAGAATCCAATCCAAAATGAGAAAAGTAACAGAAGGATTCAAGAAACAAATAAGGCCAACAAAAACGAGAAATTTATAAACGATGTATCTGAATTCAGAAAATTTAAGTAGAAAAGACCAACTACTTAATAACGAATTTAAAAACCTAAAAGTCTAAAACAAAGCCTTGAATAAACCTTTAGCTCTACCTGAGATACCGGGCCACGAGATTAATGAATCCAGATTTCTCATTCTCACTGCAACCAAGGAAAGGAAACCAATCTCAGATCCAGGATCTCGAAGTCCAACATACACAATATCTAATCAGAAACAAAGGATCGGAAACTTAAGCTACTCAGTTCATGAATCTACAATGCAAAGAAGCAAGAAAACACGGAGTCTGATTCAAGAAATGAGAAAGGAATGAAACAGAGCACCTGATCTGATTGAGGCCTGCAACATCAGAACGCAGCTTGGAGAGCTTATCGGTTTCTGTAGGGATCAGAGTAGCAGTGGCCATTAGAGTGAATGGTTGGAAGCAGAGTGGGTGGCGAGAAGAGATGGAATTTGTTTTCTATCGACTGAGATGGAATTTGTAAGGACTGAAACTTGGTAATAATAAGAGAAAATGAGAAATTCACCGTCGGAGACAAAAGTAACGGAATATCCCGCCGGATGACTCCCTGTCGTGAAGTGAAGTGTGCTTCACTACTTCCTGTATAGTTTACAGATGCTTGTACACCATAGACCTGGAATATTATGGGTAGGACCCAGTTTAAACAAAAGTGACCCACTTGATTAATACGATGCTCCAGATTTATAGTGTGTGATGCACATGTAATGCTGTTCAAGAGAGGAAATTTTGTATTCAGACTTGTTGCAATGCTGCTTCAGTATCACGCGAAGGATCTGGAGAGAGTGGTGCTACGTGTCGCTTGACGGAGCAAAACCAAAGCACGTCCTTCCGTTGTGGAGCCGTGAGCCGAGGGGATGGCATGGGCCCACACCGTCATACCGATCGTCGGAACGTGAGATGAGAGAAATGGAGTCCGTTACGATTCAACCATCAGAAGTCACGTGTGCGTCATGATGTTGCAGATGCCATGCGAAGTCAGATTAGCCGGTGAGCATGCTTGTTGAAATGAATTAAGATCGTCAATCGTCTACAAAAGTCTCTCTTAGGTAATCTTGAATGCAAGTTAAAATTTTTTACAGTAAAACCCCTTTTTCTTTTTCTAGGTGCCAAACGCCTCTTATTTTTTGTTTTTCTTTTTCTAGGTGCCAAATCCCTCTTATTTTTTGTTTTTCTTTTTCTAGGTGCCAAATCTCTCTTATTTTTTGTTTTTCTTTTTCTAGGTGCCAAATTCCTCTTATTTTTTGTTTTTCTTTTTCTAGGTGCCAAAAATAGAGAGACGTAAGAAAGTAGAAACCTACAAAAGTCTCCTCTAATCAAATCATAAGTCATAACTGGTTTGAGCACGAAAAAAACATAAAAAAAAAGACAGAATAAGGAGCCTTTTGTATGGTGTACTTAAGGATTAAAATATCGATATCGGGTATTATATCGGATCGCTTGGATATAGATATAAATACAAATATATTTTGGAAATACATGGATACGGATGAAAAAATATGTAAGCGCTTGAATACACCAGGAAATGTATATAAATTCCATAAATATATTAATAACATTACATTTAAGGCTAAAATAGTCAAAATCAATGTATAAATGCATAGAAAATGTATATTCTAATAGTATTTGTGAATAAATATATTATAATTAATATAGTGGGATACATAGAAATCATACAATTTTTATTGATAATGTATCAATCTAAAGTCCTAAAATATATTATATAAATTTTCACAAATCAATACATGTACAAAGCTATTGTTTATTTCAATTGAAGTTCATATCACAAAACACATGCAACTATTATATGTAATTATTATATCAATTGTTTTTATTTTTATATTTTTAGATTTTAACATTGACTAAATAATCAACTAAAAATTAATTCTCAAATGTTTGGTAAACAATAAAAATGTTATTATAAAATGTAATTAAAATATCAATTAAGAATTTATAAAAACATATAATCTTAAATTAAACTCTCTCAAAGATACTAATTCTAAGATACATATCGTATGCAAATTCATAATTTTTAATTACTAAACTTATTATATTATTATTTTTATAATTTTATGAAATAAATTGTCATTTTTGTAAATAATAAATATATTTTTATTTAATGTAAATTAAAATGTTAATTAATAATTTATAAAATTTGTAAGATACATTTCACATTCAAATTTATAAATTTTAAGTACTAAAATTATTATTCTATTATTAATATTTTTATTTGTATAAATTTTTTGAGATTAAAAACATCTTTTTGATATGAATGCGGATTTGAAAAATTATTTACTCCATTAGTTTATAAAATATTAAATTTAAATAATATTATTTAATCTTTACTTAGAATTATTAAACATAAATATATGTTATATGTTAGGATTACATGTAGGCATTAATAAAGAATAATTTTGTTTCGCTTTTTAACAAGAGCTAATGGTTGCCTTAGTACCCTATAGACGTTTTCAAGTTTGCGCACATGCGCAATGACTTAGATTCAAGCCTCGTCAGTTGCATGCGCGAACGTGCGAAAATGTGAATCACCCGTGTATTGGTCCATATCGGCGTGTATCGACCGATATAATACGATACGGTTTGACACTGATGTGTATCACTTTGATACAGACGATTCAGAGGATACGTACCTATTCGTAGTGTTTCCCGTATCTCTTATGACTGATATGATATGCCTCGTATCGGGCGTATCATGTCGATATTTAAATCTTTGACAGTTCTTGACAAAGAAGTATATTGTATGATTTTTTTTGTAAGATGTAGCCCCTATATAAAAACAATTATAAGTAATTATTTTAACAAGTACTTCTTTTAAGTGGTTATTAAGTGGTTTTCTATATTTAGTAAAAAAGTGGAGAAGTACTTTTTTTAATGTACTTCTTTAAAAAATTGACTTAAAGTTGGCTTTTTTTAGTACTTCTTGAAGAAGTACTTCTTCAAAAAATGAGACGAACTAGTCTCTAATATTTTCTTGTAATACCTAAAATACCCCCACACAAGGGTTATACCTTCATCTCCTCTCATTCAAACTTATCTATTAGGTAGTGGCACACCCAGTTATAGGTCCATCGACGACGATTGACGGTGAGGAAAAGTGGTCGACAGACTTGTCGTTTAGCCACTTTCTTCTATTTTCTAAAGTTATTCTTCTCATGTAATCTTTTTTTTTGTTTTTTTTTTAACTTAAACTCCTTGTTCTTCGCAGATCTGTCACTCTCGTTTGTGCACAAATAATTGAAACCCTAGAAACTTGGAAAAAGGACGAGCATGAAGGACGATCTCCCTAGCAAAGGAGGGGGCTTCCCTATCTACCAGAACTGTTGCCACGCTCTCTGCGTTGTAGGGGTCAACTCTTATGCAAACATGTTCTTCAACAATCCATCTTCTCGATCTACTTAGTGGTTTCTTATAATTTTTAATCCTGCTTAAGCTCCATTTTATTTTAATTTGTTCGCTATCATCTTAATTGGCAAATTAATTGTTGCCTTCTCTTAATTCTCATTCCAATTTGCTTTAGGCTTTTGTATATGCAAAATTTTAGTTTTTCCTACTTGATACCGAATAGAATTTCCATGTTTTAGTCAAAATCTAAAGTAAATTATGTCGAACATAAAAACCTAAGGGTCCATTTGGTTCGTAGTTAGAACCAAAATCGGAATCGGAATCGAAATCCTCTGGAATTAGAATTGGAATGATCAATTCCCATAGTCTGTTTGGTTCAGGCAGGAATGGAAATGAGAATTAAAATCAGTTAGAATGAGATTTCATTCCCAAGGGAGGGGCAGGGAATGGCCATTCCCTCAAATGGGGGATGCCATTCCAATAGGAATTAGAATGGGATTCTGATTCCACCCAACCAAACAGTTGGAATCAGAATAGTCCATTCCAATTCTGATTCCAAACCCCTATTCCTGTAAACCAAACATGGCCTAAATATATTTATGCTTATGCAGTCGGAAATTATGAGGAGCATTTCTTTCATTTTTTTGAAGTTCTTGGTGTTTCGGTGGAGCTTCAGTTGTATCTTTATCTTAATTGTTTTGTTCTGGTGAATGTTTATTTGAATTCAATTTTGACATGCTTTTTTGAATTATTTATCTTTGGGTAGTATGCATTGATCAAAGGGGTGTTACAAAACAAAGGACCTCTCGACTGCTTACAACTGGCCAAACGAGGAAGCTCAGAACTAAACTAGGTTCCCTTTGGACAAGCTTGACACGCTAGAAAGTGTGCAATAGAGTTTTTTTTTACGGTTAACAGTTAACATAACACCACAAAACAGAGGTAAAAGAAGAGAGCTCAGTCTTGATGTCCAACAAAACAAACCAGCTATCGCTGTCAAAGGATGTTTGATTCTCCTTTAGTCATTGGATTAGTGAAAGGCTGCCGCTGAAGACAAGTGCCGATATCATAGGAGTCTTTGTATGTCTTTTTCTTGCATGAAAATTTTAGGGTCTCTATGGATTCCTGTGTTTTTACTCTTTTCTTGAACTTGGGAATAGTAAAATTGAACACAAAAAACTCAAAAAGTTTTTTTTTTGTAATATATGAGGAGCTACACAAGCCCAGGGTAGTTCTTCCCCAAAGAAACACCAAAAAGGTGTATTGATGTTTGGTAGAGTGGCTTTTAGAAACATTTAAGCTGTGTTTGCTTTGAAGGAAAAAGCAGGGAAGGCAGAGAAACCTTTACAAACCTTGTATAGGTTTTCCTCAAGGTTCAAAGTATTGACACACATCAGCCCATATCAGCCGATATGTATCATGTCGAGACCCTTCCAATATGCCCCTACAATGGGTGTATCGAGGGTCTGACTGATTCAGGAGGTGGAGGAGCCCTAAACTGGCCCCCTTGAACCAATTGAAAAAAAAGTAAAAAAAATGTAGTATTGATTCACTTAGGCTCAATTCAAGTTCAATGATAATCAAATTCGAATATCAAGGTTTGTTTGATTAACTGTTTGAGCTTGAATTCAACCAATAAAATATTCAGCTAGAAATCTCATGAGTGTTGCTCAATTAACACATATTATATGACATATTAAACAACTTGTGCAAATAATGTTAGACTATGGGATGTTTGGTTCCGTTGGCATTCATTGAAAAAATGCCGCTACATCAGTGCCACATAGGCATTGGTGTTTTATTGTAAATGAAACAAAATAAAACAACTGTTCGGTTTAACCATTTATCAAATAAATGGTAGAAAACTGAAACACTTTGATTTGTGTGCATGGGGCATTTGGGGAAATGTCAAATTCTTATTTCCCCCAATGCCCAATGTTTCTTGAAACAAAATACTGATGTGGCACACTTTAATGGGTATTAATATAAGGTGGAGAGTAAAGATGTTTAAAGTGAAGTTCAACTAAACAACAAAAAGCTAGAAATGTTTAAAGTAAAAGACGTTCAAAGCGAAAAAGTATAAATAAATGTTTAAAATGAAAAAGTATAAATAAACGTTTAAAGTGAAAAAGTACAAATAAATGCCCTATCCATAAACG